TTGAATTCTCATATCGGAACCTTTCGCCTCGGCAATGAAACCTTTTTGAAATTTTTAAACTAAAACCTTTTAAAACCTTTCTTTGCAGAATAACAACGACCCATTATCTACTAAAAGCACCGTAATGAATAATGAAACTTCTGCTCGATAATTATTTGAAATTTTTAAGAAACGAGGAAGAACAGGAAATTTGCGAATGAAACTCACTCTGAAAGTGTTAAATTAATCAACGATCAATGAACACTCGATATTAAAAAATTTATAATGTTATTTGTTGAACAATGTTAATCGATGCTAAAATATAATCAATATTTTGACGTAGTACATTGATTACTAAAATGTAATTAACTTAACGAACTTAATTCAATTTAATTTAATGTAAAAAATGTAAAATCAAATTAATTTAATGTGATATTTTAATAAACAATGTTAGTAAGACGAGAGTTAAAATAATGTTGTAGCATCACGAATTTTTAATATTTTTAATTTACACATTAATCTGGGACATGTAGGTGTAGTAATCCCATAAATCTGCAACCTTGACACACATAAGAAACGAGAAAGATGCTCGACAAAAGTAACCAAAGTATCTTACATCATCAACGCCAAACCTGTTTGTAATGTTAATCAAACAACCGAGCATCCATCGCTGGGCGAAACTCTAGGAAACCGCTCTAAGAAGCGACCGCTAACGAGCTTCGGCCTTTCGACCTTCCTTTTAAAAAAACTGTCTCGCTAATAGCTTTCCTCTATCAACCCCGTTTTCTGCTACATATTTTTATGAAAAGTCCGCGGAAGTAGGCGATTCCCCGGAGAGGCGTTTTCGCGCCAAGTGGAAGGGAACAAAAAAAAAAAAAAAAAAAAAAAAAACGAAAAGAAAGAAAAAAAATGGGAAGAAAAGAGAAATGGCGCAGAGAATGAGAGACAGTTGGTGCCTATAAGAGATCCGTTGAATAATTAATGCCAGGAGACGTATTCCAGGACGTCGGGGGCCGCGGCACGGCGATTAACGAAGCGATTATTAAAATATGCAGAACGACCATCCTAATTAGTCCGTCGACGAAACCGAGAAGGGGTTTTGCTCGTCCACCATCATCTCGCTGTGTGTCTTTTCTCAGCGGCAGGGGCCAAAGAACATCACGCTCGGGTCTAAGTTTCCCGACAGAAGGGGGTTGAGTTTCTCATCCTCTGCCGTCGTTATAGTAAGGTGTGGTTGAACAAAATTTCAGAATTTCAAACGACAATGTTGAAGGTTGCGATTTTCTGTAATTGTTACTGGACAGCAAGTCACGTCAAGAAACGAGCGAACCAAGCAAAGGCCATTTTTGACATGATCAATTCCTTCGAGATGTTTGTTCAATATCCAGTGTCTTCAGAAATTCGTATTGCATGAATCTGTCGATTCTTTGAATTCTTATAGCTTATAACTTTGTGAAGAAGAAAATCAACGGACTTTGAGAGATCTGTGTAAAAGGAAGATTTCCGATCTTCGAGATTGTAACGTACGAAAAAAATTCTTTCAGCGTCTACTGAAGGCGTTTAAATTTGCAAAATTTTTGAGAGAGAAACGGTTCCATGCCTTTAGTTCCTTTTAGAATGTTGTAAAAACATCTTCAAAAAAAGACAAACGCCGACGCTGTAGAAGCTTCGTGCTTTATAATAAGCCCATCCACTTGTTCTTCAATTTTTTTTCTTTTTCTTTTACGAAGCTATAACATTCTAAAGTATTTTTCATCGTCTGTTACGTATACACGAGACACGAGATTTTGATAGATTTTTCTCGATTTTTCTCGATTACGCTGCTCGATTACGTTCGATCGGCCTGCCTTTGTTTGTCCGGCGAGACGTCGACGGAAGATGAGGATTTTGGAATTACCAAGCAGTTCCTGCTGGATGGATTAATCGCGATGGTGGGCCGGATAGAGGATAACTGAAAGGTTAATGAGCGGCTCGATCGTGTACAACCGGCGGCGGAATCGAGCGAGATCTTGTTAAAATGCATGGCGACCTTCTCGTTGAGAAATTGTCTTACGGAACCTAAGGGAGTTCCTGTCCTTCTCCTCCCTTGGGAATTTGGAAATGTCCGTCCGCCACGGCGAATTCATTAGGTCGATGGATGCCGTCGTGATCTTGTTACCGAAATTGGATTTTTCGCTTATGACACTGTGACACGCGATGCGTTTCTTGCGATCTGGCGTGGCGGCGGATCGTTTCCAGAAAGTTTGTGAAATATTCGGACGTTTTTTGGTGGCGGATTGTCAGATGAAGTGGAAGTAGCTGCTCGACAAGGGAGTTCTATGAATTTCTGTTTGTTTGGGCAAGAAAATTCGGGATATTTACCGCATAATCTCTTTAATTCTGCGTTAAATTCAAACTTTTTATATTATTATTATATGTATTGTTAATTTATTTTTTAAACACGGCGAGACGTGTCGAAGAATGTTAGAAGAATATTAAACACGAATACTGGAAATTAATGTTGCAAAAATGTTAAACAATGTTAAAGGTGGTGTAAACATAAAATCTAACAATTCAAAATTACTTTGGAATCGTTAATTATCTCGTAGAAAAATTATGAACAAGTCTAAGACAAATTAAGAGAATAATTAACTTCAGGTTAATATTACCTGAAATAATACTCGAACTAATAAATGTATTTTATATACTTGAATATTTGAATACTCGTTATTTGAATTAATAAATTAATTAATATTATTGTTAATATTTATTAATATTAACGTTTATTCATATTTAGTTAAATTACATTGCACTCTTAAAGAAACTAATAATTCTTTCCTTCGTGTGATCGCAATTCATTCCGAATTATTCACAATACGAAAGTCATACTTTTTTTTTTTACTCTTCTTCTTTACTTATTGAATCAAGTCCTCATTTGAATACTTCTCGTAATAACTTTGACATATCTGTCTCGAAACGCAGAAGAAAAATGAAGAAGTGAAAATGGTACCGTGTTATTTACATAACGTTAAACGTTAATAGAGAGACATTATGTACAAGAACCTCGAAGAGAAATTTACTTCGATCGATTACAACTGCCACCGAAAATTTGTCGTCGAGATTATTAACAATAATATTAATTAATTTATTAATTCAAATAACGAATATTCAAGTATTCAAGTATATAAAATACATTTATTAGTTTGAGTATTATGTCAAGTAATATTAACCTAAAGTTAATTATGTGAAATAAGCTACATAACCTCCTTTCCTTCTTCTTCATCATCTTTCTTCATCTCTCTTTCTCTCTATAAATTAGGTATAAATAATTCCTGCAGGTGGAATTATCCTTCTTTATTTTTCGTAACGAGTGAATCTTCCTGGTCGTATAATTATTTTCCCTCGCTACCGTAACAGCGCAATTTAAAATTCTAAAGAAGATATTCGGCGTCTTTATCTTATCCTAACTGCCTGGACTAATTAACTCCGTTTCTCCGTGCTAATTAAAAACTTCACCCCTCTTTTGTTAACGAGACCACCCTTAAAACCAGTTTCTCGAAAAAAAAAGTAACAGCGACTTGAAATAAATAAGTTTGCTTTGTTCCTTGAAATTTTTGGGATGCCAAGTGGAGCCACGAAACACGTATTGCTTTTTGCAGAAAGAGTATATCACTCGCGAAACTCAACTCTTGGTGTTTTCGTGTCATAAATGACTCGCAACACTGTTCGAATTAAATTATTTTATTTAATCCCGCAAATATAAAATTAAATCTCATTTAAATTTTTTAACTTTTTTTTAAATTTTGACAATTTCACTTCAATCGTTTAATTTTTCAATGTAATTTCAGATTTCCAACAATTTCGTTTTAATTTTTCTTTAATGTAATATCACGTACGAGAAACGTAAGTGTGGAGTACAAAATAAAACTTAACACCTACGTATTTCTAACCTTTTAAATATATCTACAATTATTTAACGCAGCTTACAAGAAATTTCGTCCACGAGGACGACAACTATTTCCTATCCGAGTTAGTCGAGTAACTTCATTCAACTTGACAAATTTCCCACAGTTCGACGATACTCGGACGATGAAACAGCTACAGTTCACTGTTCCAAATTTACGTAAAAATCAACTCGGAACTGGAGAAATACCTAATTAATCAGCAGCTAATCAAATTTCACGGGCGTGGTTATTTCACTAGTACCGTACGATTGAATCCCGAGAAGGCTCGAGGCGGTATTATTTATACCACCGCGGTCGCAATCACGTTCATTTTACAGTCTATATAATCCCGAAGTTCCCATTAAGTTCCTCATTTCCATAGGCGTGTTTTATCGTTGGGTACATTAAAACTTTCGCCCTTAGCGGGAATTACGCCGCGATATAATGGTTCGTTAAAGTAAGCGGGCCAAAACTGGCGGTCGTCGACGATCGTCCCTTTAATAACAATGAATTTTCCCTCGTCGGTTTTTCCTCGAACTTGTTCGCGTCTCCGAGCATCGACTCTCCGGTATTACGTAAACGCAAGCAAATCGAGCTGACCCTCCATGAAAGCCTGTAATTGCGTTTCCTCGCGACGCTGCGCCGATCAACAGAGAAATCTGTTACGTGAATTAAGTGGAACGCCAGAAAGGAGAGAAGCTGAGATGGTAAATACTTGTTTATTAACTGCCGCCGCGGGAAGTAATCCGTTTAGTTTCCGACAACGCGGTTTATTTTTACATCCGTCGATGCCTATACAAATTTTGATTTTCACGAGCGTGATCAAAGATCCTTGTCCGAAAATTCGGTTCATCTGAATATCGCAATCGATATTGTGTACGTGAGTTTTTTGCGTCTCTAAATTTCTCGTAAATGCATTCGCAATCTAGTCATTTTGAATTCTAAAAGAGTAGATGTGAGTGCCTTCCATATTGATCCTTTGACGGTGTAATGAAGCATGCAAACGAGTCAGAAATTAATTATTTCTCGTACTATTTATAGTACTTTAAATAAACTTACTATTCGAATATTGAATACAAACAGCGATGTATACTTTAAATGAAACGAAGGTAAAACAGAATTACGATGTCTCTTATTAAAAATTAGTCTCTAATAACAATCAGTTTCCTGTAGTTCAGCAGATCGTAGTCAGAATCAAACAATTGTAATTACTCGCTTATTAAATAATAAGCAATTGCAGCTATTATTCAATTAATCTACAGCCGAATTGTCGAACTCGGCGAATCTACACGGCTCGTTGTGTGGAACTTGATCGGTTTCTCGAGCTTAAGTGTTGTATACAGTGTCTGAAGATTCTGAATGCAGTGTAATCACGTAGTTTCGTTTGTCCACTGGCAAGATTCACGCTTACGTTGCCCATTGTTTCCACAGATGACTGTCCGAACTGCGTGGACGAGCACAGCAGCAGCCTGGCCGCGTCAAGATGGACGATGCCGTTGTTGAAGCTTGGCGAGAAGAGATACTACCTGGGGATCTTCTTCAAGGTATCACTGGCTGCCGCCAGTCACTTTGATTTATCTAGCTGCTACCTGCCGGACATCATCGAATTATTTCCGTACCCGTAATCTTTCCTGCTCACCGTCTCAGATGACGCTTTGCTCGTGCATTGAATACTAAACCGGTAGTTTCGTAATCGTTATCGATCCGTTCGGTCGAACGCGATAACGATCGTCCCCTGCACGCGTGTTTCGCATCGTCGCAACAAAGAACGCGGGATACCGATTTCGTTGATGACGATCTTCGTGAACTCGCGGCGATCCTTCTGTCAAGTAGATCGTGTCGACGATAGAGAATTCTCTCTTCGTCCGATTGGTTGAAGGGAACGAG